AGCTCCACCGCCGAGCCCACCACCCCCTCCCGCGCCACCGCCACCACCAAAACCACCGCCTTGCCCACCTCCACCGCCAAGTCCCCCGCCAGCACCACCGCCACCACCAAATCCACCACCAGCACCGCCTCCGAGCCCACCGCTACTACCAAGTCCCCCGCCAGCACCTCCACCATGTCCTAAACCACCACCCAGACCATGATGGAGCCACTTCTGCTCCTCAATGCCGCCATTACCAGCTGAAAGCTTCCTGTTTGCGGAGAAAGCCAACAAAGGGGAGGCCAAAAGAGCAAGGAAAAAGAGGACTCTACTTCCACTACTGGCAATCTTAATCTTTCCCATGTTGGGAAGTAGAGATTTAGCTTTGTGGTTTGAGCTAAGAGTATGGCAAGGGCTTATATATATAATGGTAATGGCAGCTGATGACAACTGTTACTTGTGATTAGAATTAATGCACTCTCATCCCTCAACCACCACTCCATGTTAGTCGAATTTAATGAATGATGACTTTTGCATCCCAACTCTCTGTCAGCTAGAGTTAAAGTCAACGATGGCTTTGTGTGATTTGAAGCAGCTTCTTAGTTCGACGAAGTTTATTGAAGTTTTATGAAAGACGTGTTAGCAGAGTGGAAAAATTACTCTGCGATTCAAAACTGTAAAACTTTACCAATTCTGAAATGCAATAGATGCTGAACGTCTTCTTAACATCTAAGCTTAAAGATTGATGACTTTTATGGACTATTATTTCATGCAGATTAAAGATTGGCCAAATTTTTCTTTAGAGATCGGAAAGAGAGAGTCTTTAATTATCCTGCACTTGCTTTATTTTGGGGGTATTTATAAAAACATGATAAGAGAATTTCTCTTTTCAACATATTTCAGAAAATATTTCCAACTTCATCATTAAATTTTACAGCATTAAAGAAATTTTCTTTGTTAATTTTAAACATATAAATTGCTGATGATCAATTACATATTGAAAATTAAATATATTAATTTAATTCATAAAAGTATTACTCGGAGCTTTATGACGTCTAAAATAAAAATAATTTCACACTCAATTGTTAAAATTAATTCTAAAATCCTAACCTATATATATATATATATTTTTTTTATCAAATTCTTAATAGTTTGGTCGTAGCATGTGGAAATACATGTCTAGTAGTTCAAAAAAATCACGTCGATACACGTGGATGATTGATTTGCGTCATTTGGTATCAAAGCTACCCTAACTCAAGTCATATTCTAGAATTTCAAGTCCCCCAAAATCACCCCCAATTTTTTTTCTTTTCTCTCCAACTTACACACCTCTTTCCACAGACTAATATCATAAACTCTAACCACTCTTTGAGAAGACAATTGTCAGAATCTGATCAGGAATCTACCATGTACGACATACAACGACTACTTCATCAAGTATTACATCAGCTAGATGCCATTGAGAGAATAACACAGGATGGGAACACCGTCGACCGTAATAGTGAAATTTGTGAGAAAGAACAAGAATAACACATGAATCCCTTCCGTATAGATGATACCAATGGAGAAGAAGACAATTCTTAATGCTTTCGGGAACAATATCAATGGAGGCCTCGAGCTAAAGTCTCTATTGTGAGATACAATGATCTGAGAATGAAAATTGACTTATAATATTTCAATGGGAGAATAGATCCAGATGATTTCCTTGAGTGGACGTAGAATGTTCACCAATTATTTGAATGTAAGAAAATGTCTGATGGCAAAAGAGTGAAACTCATCGCCATCAAGTTGAAGAATAATGCTTGTTTGTGATAGGAGAACCTAAAGAAGGAGAGACAGAGAGAAGGACGAGACAATATTACTTCTTGATAGAAGATGAAACAAAAGATGCAGAGAAAGTATATGATCTTGCACTATCGCTAGGATATCTTCTTAAAACTCCACTACATGCAGCAAGAGCTATCGATGGAGGAGTAAGCAGTAGAATTTATGCAACTTAAGTTGAAGTAGGAGCCGAAGGAGACAGAGGAACACACTATAGCTAGGTATTTGGGAGGTTTGAAGCCCGCCATCATTAATGTGGCCAGCTACAACTTTAGTGGACGCTGAGAGACGAGCATAATTTAGAACTTAAAGTGGAGAGACAACATAAACAAAAACCAAAACCACGACCAATTTGACAACCACCCACAGTTGGAGACTTAAGGAGGATCGTGTGTCAATAAATGGAGTAGATTAGTTGGAAGCAAGACCAAACCACTCAGCCTGAAAAAAAAAAATTGAGAAGAGTAGCACGTCACCTACTTCATAGCCAGGAAATGCATTAGATGCCATGACTTTTGACACATTGCTTCTAGTTGCTCAACGAGCTACATTGTGACTTTCACCTTGCAGGGGACAATGGAGGAAGTTATAGTTCGATGAGTCATTTAGACGAAGGGGTAGAGGGAGCAACAGTGACTTTGCCAAAAATATATTATATGCTAGTTGCACCGTGAAGGGAAAAATATGCAGCAACATCATCGATGAAGGTAATAGCGAGAATGTGGGGTGAGCACTGTTGGTGGACAAGTTAAGCATCACGACCGAGAGACATCCCTAATCATATTCCCTAATATGGATGAAGAAGGAGAATAATATCAACATTCACATAGGGTGCCTCATAGAATTTTAATTGGTTGTCAGTTGCAGAATCAAGTTTGGTATAGTGTGATGGTCCATATCTAATTGTCAATATTTCAGATGGTGCATATCTAATTATCTCAAAGTTATTAAACTCATAAATATTAGAATATTGATATGAATTTTAATCAATATATTTTATTTAATAATCTTTTAAAAAAAGACGGCCACTTAGAAGGTAAGTTTTATTATTGTTATTTTTTATTTATTTTTCTTATAGATAGATGAACATAGCTTTTAAGAAATTAAAGTGGAACAAATTCAAAATTAAAAGATAATAAAATCTGGGATTTGTTTTTATGTAAATAGGATTTAACACAAATACGGTTTGGTAAATCCTATAAATCTTAATTTAATAAATTCTAAAACATTTACATTTTAAAAATTGTTTTGCATGACAAAGGTTAAATTAAAATCTTGAATTATTGTTTGGCTGTTTTGTTTAAGATTTAAATTTGCTGGCTCAAATAAAGTTTTAATAAATACTATTAATAATGATTATTTTCTTTTTAAGTGACCAGAGGCTATTATACGATCTTTCGGCCAAGCTCATGTGCCTAACCATTCGATCCCACACATAGAGGAGCACGAACATGTGACCTCAGGGGACTTGAAACACGAAACTCATTTAATGCAGTCATAAGTAAATTTATCGAACACTTGGATATCATAGAATTAAAATTTTGGTTGAAATGGAGGTGAATCAGGATTTACAAATTTATGTAAAATTATGCCATCAAAGTGCTCTAAAAGTGGGCTGAATTGAAGCAAAGCTAGCTATTAATTGATAAATTATATGAAGTTTTTGCTATGTGTTAGATTTTTGGGATATTTATATACATACCACAGAATTCCTATGTATTTATATAACTAACACCAAAAGTTCTATTTTTATATTTATACCACCTAAGTTTTCACATCACATCAAAGATGCCACTACTTTAACATTTGAAGGTGAAATCCACATTTCATGCATTTGATGGCATACATATAAATACTGATATTAAGGGGTCAGATATGTAAATATATAAAAATAGAGTGGAATGCATGTTAATCTCCATAAGATTAATGATGAAAACATTGGCCTGGATGCGGCCACACCGTACCGTTGTGCATTTACAGCCCATCCAGGCCAATGTACAAATGTGATATTTTCTACCTTTAATGGTTAAGCCTACTTCACAGCTCATCTAATATCTAATAAATGCTTTAATGGTATAGCTTCGATACATATTGCAATAAATATTTCTCTTAATTGTCATTCATAGTAATTATTACAGACCAAACCAACCTTAACAGGACAAGCAAGTGCACATGGGTCCGAAAGACATGCCCCCAAGACCTAAATATCATAAAGCTTGTCCATCCAACATAAAATTGCAATATCATTACATGACCGTATGGATTATTTTCTCACTAAATATTTGATGTCAAGTTCTCATGGCACTCCGCCCCCCCCCCCGCCGGCGCCGCCACCTCCACCAAATCCTCCGCCATTACCAAGCCCATCTCCTAGTCCACCACCACTTCCGAAACCTCCGCCAAATCCTCCACCAACACCACCACCTCCGCCGCCTCCAAACCCACCTCCACCTCCATACCCGCCGCCACCGCCGGCACCTCCACCAGCTCCGCCACCAAGCCCAACGCCCGAACCGCCACCACCACCCAATCCACCTCCACCGCCACCTCCAAGACCACCACCACCTCCACCGCCAAGGCCTCCTCCTGCCCCACCACCTGCTCCTCCACCTACTCCACCACCGCCACCCAAACCACCACCACCGCCAGCTCCTCCACCAGCTCCACCGCCAAGCCCTCCACCATGGCCTCCTCCAACACCAACACCACCACCCAACCCACCTCCATGCCCGCCTCCTAATCCGCCACCACCACCGGCTCCACCACCAAGCCCGCCACCACCACCCAATCCACCTCCGTGCCCGCCACCCAGTCCACCACCACCGCCAGCTCCTCCACCTGCTCCGCCACCACCACCCAATCCACCTCCGTGCCCGCCACCCAGTCCACCACCACCGCCAGCTCCTCCACCTGCTCCACCACCTAGCCCGCCACCGCCACCCAATCCACCTCCATGGCCCCCTCCTAATCCACCACCACCGCCCAATCCACCTCCATGTCCGCCTCCTAGTCCACCACCACCTCCAGCTCCACCTCCAAGCCCGCCACAGCCACCCCCCCCCCCCCCCCCCCCCCCCCCCACCCCCGCCACCGCCACCCAATCCACCTCCATGCCCGCCACCCAGTCCGCCACCACCACCGGCTCCTCCACCAGCCCCACCACCAAGCCCGCCTCCACCGCCCAATCCACCTCCATGACCGCCTCCTAGTCCGCCACCACCACCGACTCCGCCGCCCCCACCATAACCTCCTCCAAGCCCACTACCGCCACCGAGTCCTCCACCGCCACCTAACCCACCGCCACCACCGCCTCCAAGCCCACCACCACCACCAAGTCCCCCACCAGAACCACCGCCAAAACCGCCGCCTACTCCATGATGGAACCACTTCTGCTCCTCGAGGCCGCCATTACCCGCAGAAAGCTTCCTGTTTGCAGAGGAAACCAGTGAAAGGGAAGCCAAAAGCGCAAAGAAAAAGAAGATTCTACTTCCACTACTGGCAATCTTTCCCATGCTGGGAAGTAGATCTAACTCCAGTTGTGGTTTGAATAAAGATGATGGCCGGAGCGGCCCTATATATAATGGTTTCCACATGAAAGGCCAGAAAGCAGATGATATTTATTATTTGTGATTGGAATTAATGCACTCTCATCCATCAACTACCAATCCCTGTATAGTGATGACTTTAATGAATCACGACTTATGCTCGCCGACTCTGTGACAGCTTGTGTTATCGTCGTCCACAACGAATTTGGATAACTAGAGAAATGTTGATTTCTTTCTTGTTCTTTTGATGCATGCATGCATTAATACCATTCACGTTATAATATTATTTATATTAATAGAACTTTCATGAAAATAATGACAATGGATAACATAAAGCAATAAAGATGAGCGTCTTATCATGACTAGTGGACATCGACACTTGGTATTCATTTGGCTAAGTATTGTTAATAGACGATATATTAGATGTTTAATAGATTTCTTACAACCTTAATGAAATTTAAATTAGGCTATGTAATTTTTTTTTGAATTATCTCATCAAAATGATCATTTTGACTACAATCACATAGAAATTGGGCGACAATTGACCCTTAATGTGTCTTGTTTAAGTTCCTAATTATACTTCATTGTGTTCAAATTATGTCTATTTGGAGTAAGATGAAGGTAATATTGAAACCCTTGGGTTTGTCTCTCTAAACCATATATTTTAAATAATAGTTTGTTTGAAATATAATTTATGTATTATTAGAGTCAATTTCAAAAAATTATAACCTATGAAATTTGCATTGAGTTGCTTAGGATTATAAGATATATATATAGAAAATAAGTATTAAGTATCTCTCTATTACATCAAAAAAAAATTTAAAATTTAAATAAAAAATATTATTTTTCTTAAAATTTTTATGTTAAAAATATTTACGTTTAAAAATTTTAATTAATTAATTTAGGATATTCATATATTTTTTTTTAAATAATACTTAAATCAGACACATATATGAACCGTCCGCAAAACAGAAAGAAAAGTAATTATTCTTTGATGCAAACCATTAAAAATAATTAAAATTAAAAAAAAATAATATTTAATTTATATGAATGTAATTATTCTTTGTGTGCTACGAATTTTCATTCTTTGATTAGAAAATAAAATTTATCTCAATCACTGAAAATATTGAAATTTATAGTAATTATTTATTCAATTTATTCCTCAAGAATAAAAATTGAAATTAATCTCTAAATAAAGTAATAGAAAGCATGTGCACCGACAAGTACCGACTGCCTCTGCGAATATGACGCTCCCAAAGTGCCCCGGACGTGGTATTGCTTTTTTTTTTTTTTTTTAAGAGCTGAATTTTGTTTTAATTAAAATTATAGCATCATAAGCATGATCCTTTTGGTGTGGCGGTGTGACACCGCATCGCAATTTTGTCTGTTTGAATAAATTATTTTTAATAGTTTTTTTCAAAAAATTGCCACTAAAATTTGTGTTTTCTCACATTCATGATTTGCGGTGACAACTTTTAGCTTCGTTCTTAGAAAAAAAAAAATAATAGTCATAAATGTAAGTAAATTATTTTTTACAATAATTTTAGAAGTTCTCAAATTGTGAACTTGAAAATGAGTGAATAACATAAAATGTGAAAAATATTTGTTTTTTTTGGCAAAAAAGTCAAATGGAAGGAAAGGAAGCAGCTGAAGGCATAGTAATTACAATTAAAGAACATAGGGCCCACTAAGAACTTTTCATATATATTTTTAGAATATTTACGTGCATACCTTTCCATATTTATATATTTACATATCTATCATCTAAATTTCGATGATGTTATATATAATATAAATATATATATTGCATATAAAAGTTATAACAGTCATATATTCACATGATGCAAGTCATTTGGAGGGGATAATATGTAAATATATAAGAATTGGGTGGTATGTATGTAATTGTCCCGAGCAGTCGGTGAGATTTACCTGATCATTCGGTCGCTGTGAAACCGCCGCATGGAGAAGAACACCGCCGCCGACCGAATGGAAAACGCCCGAAGCAGCCAAAACTTCCGAAGTCCAAATGACGTTTTATTTGTCTCCTTCGAAGAAAATGCCGAAAGAAGAAAAAAAAAATGAAACAATGCTCCAAAATCGCTCAAATCTATCATAAAGTGAGTTTTTATCGAAACAGTTTCGGTATTCTGACTGGCTAAATTCGGACGGTTTCACAAAAAGAAAAAAATGCATCTTTTCAGGCCTTAAATTGGGCCGGGTCACCTTAAAAACCCAGTCTTGGCCTCCTTTCATTCATTCGACTCCTCAAGCAACTCACTTTGCGGAGTCATAAGTCAATAAATTTCCAAATGTTTGACCTTAATAGGCGGTAACTAATTATTTAGTTGACGTGAAATTTACATACATTTTGCCAAACTTTTAAGTATTTACATATTGGCCATTCAAAATTTGATATTTATACTAGGACATTTTGATTTAATAGGTTTCATTGGAATCTTTGACGGCATATTCCAACAAAACCAGCACCCGACAGACACGAAAGGAATAGGAAGGAATAATAAAACCCAAACAACACCGTAAAATTACCAAAATACAACCTCCGCGGTTTTCTGAAGGCAGGTTTATTCCTGCCGATCCGCCTGGTTTCATTGGAATCTTTGGCGGCATATTCCAATAAAATCAGCACCCGACAGACACGGAATGAATAATCCCGTAAGAAGTTTTATTTCATCAAAAAAAGAATTACAAAGGTGTGGTTAATAGTTCTACTAAAACCCTCGCTCAAACAACTTACTCAAAAAACAAATAAAAATATAAGAATATTTAGCGACAAATACAACTCACGCAAGAAAACATATTAGAAAAAAATTATATGAAAAATATAAGTAATATTTAAACAATCCCCTTTAATCAGCCGAGAAAGCTTCAATAGAACAATAATAGAAAAATTAAACTCCTGAGAATCCAAACTTCTTTTCGCAGCCTAATTAACACACTTTTTACCTTCGCGATGAATAAACATTCACTGAACTGAACCTTCACATACTCAAGTAAAGCAAAGTTTTTTTTTCATATGAATAATAAAAAAACCAAGGATGCTCATTCTTTTTACTATAGTAATTCCACAATTCTAGAGAATCCATTTCGATCTCAATATTATCCCAACCGCATCTAACATCCAAAAACAAAACAATGATTACCGCCTAGGCTCAACAAAGATAGGAGAAACAACTGAAATTGGTGCAAAAAGCTACAGTAAGCAAACACCCATGGTGTTTTGACAAACTCCACCACTACCAGCAAACAAGCTATTCCAATTACCATCCGTATTGAATTTTAAAAACCTCTCTTAGGTTGTTTCGACATAACCAGATTAGTCACATGTTTACATTTCATATGAATCAAAATATTAAACTTATTAAAGACCTTTAGCAGGTCCAGTCCAACATCTTTCTTAAACTGGCCACATCTATGCATTTTGAAAATAAAATTTCTAAAGTAAATAAAACAGGAGAACTTAGAAATCAGATTACCCATATGCCTAGCCTCATTTCTAGGAATCCAAAAAGCCAAAAGACCACAATAGGAATAGAAGCAAAAAACAAACCACTTCCATAATTTCTCCAACAATTAATATAACGAGCAATGTAATTTGTGATAACATCATTCATCATTTTATCACAAAGAATAAAATTTTTTACCAGATATCTTTAGCAAATGAACCATTAATAAAAATATGCTCTGCATTATCCTCATTTTGATTGCAAAAAAAACAACCAGAGGAAAGCCTCAAACCTTTCATTTTAAGAATATGATTCGTGGATGAATATGGTGTTTAGAAAGAGAGAAAACTTGGGAAGAGAGAGAGAGAGAGAGAGAGAGAGAGAGAGAGAGAGAGAGAGAGAGAGAGAGAGAGAGAGAGAGAGAGAGAGAGAGAGAGAGAGAGAGAGAGAGAGAGAGAGAGAGAGAGAGAGAGAGAGAGAGAGAGAGAGAGAGAGAGAGAGAGAGAGAGAGAGATGGAATGATAGAATAATTGATGAGCATAACAAAGTAAATCAGAGAGAATCTTACTAAAGCTTCTCGAAAATAAAATTTTGAGTTTCTATTTATATTTAATATCCACTCTTGATAGGCGTTGATCTTCACAAAATATCATATTTATCCTCATGAAACTATTTGACGTTTGGACGTACAAATATATAATTTTGGTAATATTTCCTACAACAGAATTGAACCATGGACGTATCTTCCTCTTATTGACCATTCGGGCAGAGGCGAACTCAGGGGAGACAATTGCATCCCCCTCCCATTAAATTCAAATTTTTACTTATATGAGATGACAATTTGGTCTTTTGCCTCTTCTAAAGTATCATTAATGTCTTTTTTGAAGCATCACTTTGACCTTTTTTGTCCTGGCTCCAGTTTGCCCCAATAAAAATAGTTTTTGTTCCGCCCCATTTATTCGGGTGAGATGGTTGACCTTTCCTATAGGTATCATCTAGTTATAAGATAATAATTTTTTTCTTCCTTTGTCCTAAATTTGGACCCACATCTCTCATTTTTCTTTATTTTTAGAAAGATTTGTATATAACCTACAAACAAATTTGGGCGGAACAAACATTTTTTTTAAATATAAATATTATACTATAATATGCCTTTTCAAATTACTAAAATTATAGATAACTAAAGTAATGGTAACTCAATAGATTAGGAATAAAAATCTGCGTTAAAAAATTATAATAAGAGGGTTTTGAGTTTATTCATTAAATATTTATTTAATGTTAGCTTCATTTTGATGAATTTTGAGTGTAATAGTCTAAAAAAAATTAATGTAAGCAATTAAATTTAAATATTAGAATAATTTCATAAACATTAAATTCTACTTTTAAAAAAAATGATTTAAACATATAAAAATATTCATAATTTTATCAAGTATACATTACTTATTATATTAAATAAATAATATTTATATTGGATAGAAAAAAAGGCACCACATATAGTAATTATATACTTAAAAAAAATTTAGTATTAATGAATGTGACAAAAGCTTGAAGCTCTTGGTCTTTTGTCATATGCTTCCGTTCGCCTGGTGTCTCGGAACACTTGCTCATGCCTTATTTCTAACACAGACTCAAGCATAGGGAACACTAAAAATTACATAGCAAAACTTAATGAAATGACTCGACCTCATGAAAAATCAGATTATTATAAAAAAGATATCAACATTTAACGTAGTGAACCATGCTCAATGGGAGAGAGACTAAATAACACTTTCGGGAACGGAGTTAAATAAAAATCATGACAGTCTTTCCTTGTTTGAGTGATCTCAGATTTTTGGATTCCTATTGTTGAGGTGCGCAAATTGACCGCAAAAATATGTTAAATTTGTAGTTCATTCTAAGATTTAGTTGATGGTCCAAAGTATCGAAATGTGCTATAATGGCTTGGTTTGGTGAATCAATTTTGGTATTATTGAGCTCTTCTTATCAAGATGATTAGTTTGGCTATAAAGTTATTGAAATCCGGGATCAAATGATTTTAAATTTAAAATTTGTAGGCCTTTCATTAAAAATGACGGAAATGTGTACTCGATAAAAAAAAATGATGAAGAAACATCTAAATGCAAATGTCTCCTGAGCACTCCGAATCAAATACCTTTGAATTTGGATAAATAGCTGAAAATATGGCGTTGCCTGCAAATGAATCTCTTTGAACATTCAATTTCCCGCCTTCTTCTCAACTGTTCTAACGCGGCTCTGCCATTCGCCATTAATATATCTTTCTCTCTATCGACTATTTGCAGAAATACAGCAGCATAGAGCCAGTGGACTTGCTCTCTTTATTAAATTATAATAGGAGATCAGGAAGATGCTATCAGCTCAGTGGTCGCCGGCCATGGTTTCTTCTAGCGGACGCTCCCCTGTTTGCTTCTTCCTGCTTTTCGTTGTAGCGTCTCACTTGAGCTTTCTAGCCCTTGCCAACTTCGATAGATTTGGGCATGGGCCCTTCGACCATGGCCCTCCCTGCGGCTTTCACTTCCGCGGCTGTCCGGGTGGGCCTGGAGGAGGAAGATCTGGGGGCTTTGGAGGCTTAGGTGGTGGTGCGGGTGGAGGAGTTGGGGGTGGCAGCAGACTTGGTGGTGGTGGCGGTTTTGGCGGGGGAGTTGGCGGGGGCTCTGGCCTTGGCGGCGGTCATAGTGAAGGATTTGGTGGTGGAGGTGGAATTGGTGGCGGACTTGGTGGTGGTCATGTTGGAGGATTTGGTGTTGGAAGTGGTGTGGGTGGTGGAGCGGGAGGAGGACTTGGCGGTGGTGGCGGTGGCCTCGGTGGCGGTAATGGTGGAGGATTTGGTGTTGGAGTTGGTGTAGGTAGTGGTGGAGGAGGTGGAATTGGTGGTGGAGGTGGCAGTGGCAGTGGGCTTGGTGGTGGTCATGCTGGAGGATTCGGTGTTGGAGGTGGTGTGGGTGGTGGAGCGGGAGCAGGACTTGGTGGTGGTGGCGATGTTGGAGGTGATGGTGGAGGTGGGCTTGGGGGGGGTGATGGTGGAGGATTTGGTGTTGGAGGTGGTGTAGGTAGCGGTGGTGGAGGTGGAATTGGTGGTGGGCGGGGGTGGTGGGCTTGGTGGTGGTCACGGTGGAGGATTCAGTGTTGGAGGAGGCGTGGGTGGTGGAGCGGGAGCAGGACTTGGTGGCGGTGGTGGAGGATTTGGTGTTGGAGGTGGTGTAGGTAGCAGTGGTGGTGGAGGTGAAATTGGTGGTGGTGGCGGCGTTGGAGGTGGCGGTGGTAGTGGGCTTGGTGGTGGTCATGCTGGAGGATTCGGTGTTGGAAGTGGTGTGGGTGGTGGAGCGGGAGCAGGACTTGGTGGTGGCGGCAGTGTTGGAGGTGGTGGTGGAGGTGGTCTTGGTGGTGGCCATGAAGGAGGGTTTGCAGGCGGGGCAGGGTTTGGTGTTGGAGCGGGAGGAGGCGGTGGTAGTGGAGTTGGTGGAAGTGGAGGCTTAGGTGGAGGTGGTGGTGGTGGAGTTACCGGTGGTATAGGAGATAGGAGGAGGTGTTGGAGGGGGCAATGGCTTTGGTGGTGGCATAGGTGGCGGTTCGGGAGGAGGCGTTGGGGGAGGTAGCGGTGGTGGACTTGGTGGTGGTGTGGGAGGAGGTGGTGGACTTAGTGGTGGTGTAGGAGGAGGCGTTGGAGAGGGTGGTGGCTTTGACGGTGGTAGAGGTGGTGGCATTGGTGGCGGTGCAGGAGGAGGAGTTGGGGGAGGTAGCGGTGGTGGGCTTGGCGGTGCTGTGGGAGGAGATGTTGGAGGGGGTGGCGGGTTTGGTGGTGGTGCAGGAGGAGGTGGAGGTTTAGGTGGTAGTTGTGATGGTTGTGGTGGAGGGGTGGGTGGTGGCTTTGGTGGCGGAGGAGTTGCCGGTGGAGGCCTGGGACACGGTGGAGGAATAGAGGGCGGTAGTGGCCATGGCATCGGTGGTGGAGGTGGGGTAGGAGTCGGAATTGGTGTTGGAATCGGGATTGGGGTCGGGGTCGGGGCTGGAGCACGTGAAGGTGGGGGTGTTGGTGGGAAACAATGACACATGTTTAACCTATAAAATTTACACTTAGCTCTATTTATTACTGACTGTGTGTTCTTTTTCCTTTTTGAAAACTCAGTGGGCTGCCAAATCCTCAATTAAGTCGGCTCATGTAATTGCAATCTTTGTTTTCTAGGAACTACTAATTTTATTGCAGATGTGCTCACAAGGTCGAGTTAGTAACACTTCATTTATTAGGGGTTATTGTGTAAGGTCTACAGTCTACTCAATAGTTAATATCACTCTTACTATGCCTTTTCTTGCATATTATTTCACTAAAGAAAGTATCATGTTTGAAATATTCTTCAGAACATCTGGATGATGCACATAATATTTTCTTCTTTCATAGCACAATAGAATATATATATATATATATATATATA